GAATCTAAAATGGAATCTTATATTTTCTAAAATACACTGTTACTTCACTCTATGCTACATTAAAAATAGTAAATATACTGTTCATAAGTTAGTGCCTTGTTAGAAATAAAATAAGAAGTAAATACAAGTGTCAGATCTTTAAAGATAAAGATATTTAAAAATAAAATAATACATATCATAATGTTGCATTGAAATTTTCGTTCCTCCAGACCGACCTCCAAGGTTGTGACATTTCCATGCCAGCTCGGCAGGGGGCGGTGTGTCATTCTAAACCTGTTTAGCCAGCTCCTCAGGGGGAGGGGAACAAACATTTTGCTTTCTTCCTCCTCTCGGATACGAGCTGCGTGACGCTGACTGTCCACCTAAACATATATATCTGCATTTATCATCTTCCCATTGAGTTTTGAGTGAAGACTGTGGTTATTATTTGTGTAAGTTTGACACCCGCTTTATTGGCCACTTTGTGGCATGACGCATAATTCATTTTTTCTCGACACTGGCATAATGAAAGGAACTGAAGCTGCAGGCTAGCAGGCCTAGCATTGAAGCTAGCTAACGTGAACCTGATTTGATCTTTAGCTGAGCTGTGAGAAACTCCTCAGTCAAATTTGGGTGTCTTTTTTTTCTTGCATTCGACATTAAGGTTTTGTTCCGACATGCTTATTGAACGGCGTGTACGTATTTGTCTAGGCTGTTTGGGCCTTTCCCATGGAACTCTTGTGTTTTTGTGACATTTAGCTAATATTTAGTGAGTATTTTCTAAGACTTTGTACTGGTTAGTGAGAGTCTTACCTCTTTTGGTAAATCTCAAAATGAGGCCATAAAGTCAGTGACCCAGATTCGTATTTTTCCGGACGGTTTAAACCGAAAGTACGCCTTGTGAGTTTATCACGTGACGGATGGTTGAAGCTTTTTGTTTTCTGTCCCACTGAAGAGCGTTGGATTTATGTAGAAGTGTGGGTTTTGTGAGCATCAGCTTGTATGAACTTTTTTTTTTTTTTTTTTTTAACATATTGGTGGCTTTATCGATTGAAGATTTTTTTTTTTACAGACCTTGCGACTGAATTCCCTACGTTCTTGCTCATAATGGCTCAATCTGATAAGGAAGTTCGCTTTCCTAGTATTTAAACCTCTGATCCAAGACAAGCCTGGATTGAAGGTATCATCTGGGGATCCAGCTCAGTTTCTTGGTGGCGAAAGAAGGGAGCCTTTTGGTACCACAAGTGGTTAATCCAAAGAAATGCAAAGGAGGAACATGGAAGAACAATGATATTATGTTTTCAGCTTTTAAGGAAATCTGTTCGGTAACATAATTTGGGAACGGGGGAAAGAAATCCTGAATGGAAATAATCCCAGACTAAACATGGGGGAAAAAAATATACTACCTCTGTATAAATGGATGATTGTCATGGAGCGCAGGAAGCACTTAATGTTGGAAGGCTGAGATGGTCTTAAACATGGAATGTGATGAGGTATAATGATATACACATTATAGTGTATATAGAGTATATTCTGTGATATTAACAAGCACAGACTTGACTTCCTGGAATTGGTATTTCTCAGGCTGATGCATTTGGTTTATTAATCCGATTGTGATTCTGCTTGTGTCGGGGTGCCTTTTGTTTAGCCTGTCTAGTTAGAGTAATAATGTGTAACACTCAGTTTGGTTTGGTACTATTTATGCCTAAACACTTTCACTTCTTGTCTTCCAAGGATGAGATCATGGATTCTAACAAACAGATGTTATACAGCGGCTGCGACTAGGTCCTCCTGTGCTGCCATGTTTACTTGGGTTTGTTTGTTGGCTTGGCAGCACTTGCCTTTTTCACAGTTAAAGACATGTCTGTCTGAGATGGTAGAAGCTGGAGTGGTACATTACGGATTGTTTTTTGAGATTGTAAAAAAAAATAAAATACTGCAAGAAGTTTCTTTACATTACTCTTCCATTTAAATGGTTGAGTTGTTTTTCCCTTCCTATAAGAGATTTGAGCCACCTAAATGTGAATCATATTTTATTGTGTGATGCTTTGTGATTTATTGTCTGCAACTGATTCATTTGAAAACCTCCAATCTTTTTTTTTAATTAATCTGCTGTGATATTTATTTTTGAGTTGGTCTTTTAATAATCTGAGGGCAGAAGGTTCTTTAAAAAATAGTTTTGCAGATTTTCAGCCAGGTGAAGCTAAAGCTTGCCACTTTAAGCATTCTGTATGGCTTCAGAATTCTGCCAAAAATCCACATATGCAACAAATGCTACGAGCAGCTTTAACTGCTTATTAACTCTTCCTCACGTGCACGATTAACATGTTACATGCACAAATAGAGTACCACAGGGTCCTAATATATCACACACACAAGTGTAGGAAAAAAACACACGCACAGCCTCCTCACGTGTGGATATTTTTCTGTGCGCTCATGTCAACTTTTTTTTTTCCCTTTGAAGGTTTTACCGACTGGAAAAAGCAACCTGCCTGCAATTAGCTACTTTTCAGGAAATCCCACTTCAGTTCTGACACGTTTCCAAGTTAACCAGCATAAACTGTGTTCCTCCTTCCAGTTAACGTTTTGACCAGCCCACATACGCAACAAATACTCATACGAGCAGCTTTACCTCATACAATCACTGACTCTTGACTCCCATACATGCTCAACATGTTAGAAGCACAAATCGAGTACTGATATATCACACACATCAGTGCAACACAGTCTGGATAAATACTGGATTTTGACTAGTTGTTGGGTGTCTGCTAAAAGTGGTTATAAGTCATCTACAAAAAAAAGTTCTGGTGAAATAGTATGCTAGTTTTTGCTAGCTGAAACGTTAACTGTAAACGGGGAAAAAAGGTCTACGCTGGATTTCCTGAAAAGTAGCAAGTCACAGACGGGTTGTCTTTTCCGGTCGACAACGCCTTAAAAGGGACAAAAATTGACATCAGCGCACAAAACAGGTTCACATGTAGGAGGAGGGAGGCTGCGTGTGTGGTTTAATATCCAGAAGCACAGAGCCTTCTTGCACACGTGTGTGTGTGTGAAATATTAGGTCCCAATGGTACTCTATTTGCACATGTAACATGCTAAACATGCATGTGAAGAA